ACTCACTCAACCAAGCGTTCTAACCACAACCTCGCCCCTCCCCACCCCCCAACCATTCAAATTTCTGTAGGCGGGAATTATTTGTAATGATATTCCAATGAGCCGCTTTGTGATATCACAAAGCCCGGAAAACAAACGCTGTAGTCCAAACGAGCCGTTCGTTGTAGTTCTTGAAAAGGGATTTAAAAAAAACTAAATATCTCCCTTTGGAGTGGACTTTGAGATTTGTAACTTTCTAGATCTTTTTAATGCCCAAACATACACACTACACACTGACTAAAATTAAAAAAGTGAAAAAGCATAATAGGACCCCTTTAAGCTTTTTGTTATTCAGATATTTTGCAGAGTAATTCTATTTGTTAACCAAGGATGGTTACATTTTTTATTAAAATGTTTAAGTATTACAACTAAATGGCTAAACTATTCCATGTTTGACTCAAATTGAAAGAATAAAGAATTTAATTTCTATTGTCTATGCTTTAAGGTTTATAGGGATTTTAAGATGTAATTAACGATTTGAATAATACAGTTACTTATTGAGTAATTAAATTACTTTTCAGACAAAGTAATGAGAAAAGTTAAAATACATTGAAATACATAATTAGAAAAATTTAAATACAATATTGATGATGTAATTAATAATTAGTAATGAATTACTTTTTGAAAGTAACTTACACAAACACTGTACATCATCTGCCAACATGCACTAAATACGCACTTCAGTTCATTGGATGCACTGAAAGGACACTGACTCAGAGGTGGTTCCAGAAATGTCTGCAAACCATTATGTTTATTTTTGTAATGGATTCAAAATAAAATGAAGTATTGGTATTTAGTGCTGTGTTTTCAATTATGTTATATTCCAATTTCATGCTGTTCCTCTAATGATCCAGAACAGTATTTGTGCCACATAAATTTCAGTCTGTAACAGTATTTCTGTCTTTTTTGGGGAGAAAAACGTCCAGATAAACATTGACTTCATTATGGTTCCAGCATGACACCCACCTTATAGTCTTGCCCCACAACACAGATCTTGCTTATCGATTCCACCTCACAAATGCAGTACCATTTATTACATCAAAGCTCTGTTGTTAACGGTCATCTTTAACTAAACACTTTCATATAATACTTATTTAAACAAAATAATAATAATAATTATTATTATTTTATTTTTTTTCTCATTTGTAAACATTTATTCTGGAGCCCTAAAATCTGCTGGAGTTGTGCTAGTGATTTTAAGTACTACAATCTCAGTACTCACCACAATTCCAAACTGCTCTGATTCACAAAGCTCCTCGTATTCATTCTTTAGCTCGGCCAGATTGCTCAGCTCCTTTTGCTCAGGAAGGTTTTTGATCAGGTTCTGCAAAGAAAATGTACAAACACACCCATCAGTGCCACAGGAGAAAACACCTGCTGCCTGCTCATTTGGTGAACTCTCGCAGGGATGTGAGTGACAGTACAGCATGATTTAAATGAGGCCACAGCTTTTATATGCTATTGTGCCTTGTGCTGGTGGTCTGAAATACACTTGTGATTCACATAGAGACTCCCTAATGTTCACATCTTTCCCAATTACTGCACACTGCCAATCTCAGAATGCAGAGAGAGCGAAGAAGAAGAAGAAAAAAGCCTTCTTTAAGCAAGCACGGCCTGATTGGGCTTTAGAAATCTATGGCAGCTCAATTCAAGGGGAAATATTCATGTTGATCTTGTCTCCATCTTTGTTTTCGTCAGCTTTCTACCATGTTGGTGAATAGAGTCGGCACTCTCCAAGGAAAATTCACCCCGGCAAAGCATTACTCTTGGAGCTCAGCCGAGGTTCAAAGTTACACAGTGCTGAGGAAATGACGTTCAAGGTGACTCTAAGAAATGAGGGAATAAATACCGCCCCCACCCCCACATTATTTAATGTCACTGAAATGTCCCTGATGTTTATGGCTTTCTTTTCCTTTCAGACAATTCGAGACGGAAGGGCACATTTGAGCCAAGTTTGCCACTAAAAATTTGCCGCTTTACAGATGTCAGGAACTCTATTGACTTCCTTTTCCCAAAAAAAGATTCATATTGCTTGTCCAACTTTGCAATTACCTATAAGATTAAAAGCATGCTGTAGGCGATGTGGGGAAGTGAGAGAACCTTCATTTTTTCTAAATGCTAATTGTGCTCATAAAGGTCAGATGAGTAAATGAAAAGTAGCCTGGAAACTCTTTATTTAAACCCAGTTAAATGTTTTTATGTGGTCTCTCTCTGAAATAACTTCAACTGTCCTGCTGACAATAATAAGTCTGACGCAACACAAAGCCAATGCACTGACACCTGGATCTTGAACAAAATGAAGTATTTCTAGCGCCCCAATATTTTTATGAACTTTACTCAAATAAATAATGGATAAGAATCTCTCACATACAAATAAATGTTCAGAGAGCGAGTAAGAGAAAGAAAAATGTGATATTACTATAAACTAGGCCTTTAAACTCCAGTGAGTTTGGTACTATTCTCAATAGTAAACTCAGACAGCATTGTAGTTTTTTTTTTTCCTCCGCAAGACGTGTGCTTGCTTTTGATGAGATAATCATTAGCTTTGTTCTTTCTGGAATAGATGAATATATGCATAAGCAAAACATGATTTTTTTTGTGTGTTTTAAGGATGCTTAGTACATCCACTTTCCCTGGTTCAAAGCAAATCTAGCCTAAAATAAAAATGTGTCAGAAGCCTGTAATTGTCTGGACAATGAGATAAAACTGACAGTTGACTCCATCATCTCAGATGTTAAATTAAATAAATGTGCTAAGAGGTTTTGAGATATTAAAAAAAAAAGCCTGCAATCGAGCAGCAAAGATCAGCCACTTTAGGGGGAGGGATTACGGTAAAACAGCCTTTCTCTCATCTGAAAGAGTCTGAGGGACATTAGCCCAGCCGTTCGGCTGAGGAACAAAGCTCCCCTAAACAATGTATCATTGATTTTGAATGAAGAGCAACAACACAGCAGCACACCATTCAGCCACAGCAATCATCATTGCTAATGTGCCGCCAAATCTCATTATTGGAGTTGTATTTCTCCATCGCCATTTGCAGAGACGAGACAAGCGATTAGGGTTCGCCGTTGCCTCTTTTCCAAAGGCATCTATAGGACAACCCGCCAAATGGAGCAGAGACGGAGGGAAGATGTAACAAATGGGGCTAAAGAGAGAGGAGCGAGAACGCAGTTAATTGTTAATACGCTCATCTATGGTTTACATAATTATCGGAGCCCCGCATATTGAGTAAATGACATGCAAGAAGAGCCATATGGGAGGGTTGGTAAGAGGCGATTGTACCCTGAATGAATCAGTCTGCTCTCTCCAGGCCTCCAGACTCAATCTGATTCTGGGAGGGGGGTTAGCGGAGCATGGGTCCTAGCAGACAAGGCATGCTATGGTAATAATCCAGTCATTTGGACTCTCTCCGCAGGACCAGATACATGCATGCTGTCACACTTTATTCTTTAAGATGCTGCTCGTCTCAATGTCGTTTCAGACTTCATGACCTTTTTTTACTTCCACAATGCATGTTCCTGACCTTAGCGTCAGAGATTCATTAGAACATGTTATTTGTAAGTTAAAGTTTGCCATTGTATTCTTTAATCAACATGCAAAGTTTTCTTCCTCTGAAACAACTGTCCTTTTCCACTGACAAAATAATGTTAATCAACAGCCAAACAGCTATTTAGATACTACTTACATTTACATTTACATTTAGTCATTTAGCAGACGCTTTTATCCAAAGCGACTTACAATACTTCTAATAAATAACTTAAAATAAATAAATGCATTCATTATTAAAATAATGTAATTGTTTTTTATGACTTCATTCTGGTAACATGCATCTTCCATTAATCAATAATATATGATCATCTCACACACACACACACACACACACACACACACACACATATATGCACTTGCAATGCAAGTGTCTAAATGCAAGTGGGAAACTGTAATTTCAATGCTGAGTGCAGCACCGTATTAAGGTGCAATTACTTGTGCTTTGGTACGTTTCCATGTAACAAGGAGAGTCTGCAAGTGCAATGACTGCCAAGTTCTTAAATGATACTGGAATTCATTCAGTGTTGGAAGAGGATACAGAGAAGGAAAGCGAGACAGAGAAGGCTCAGAATCCATAAATATTTTGACTGATGACAATATCTGTGAGGCTTCCAGCAGTATAATTTGATGCTGACATTTTCCAGTCACACAATCAACCTATGCCAAATTAACAACTAAGTCTTCAGTCAGAACAGACACCCTGGCTATGTTCAGATTAGCATATTACCATACTACTCTTACAAGTTCAGCAGTATACAGTATAGTATGAATACCATGTCTAGTATGTCAGTTGTCTGTATGCTTAGAATACCCTGAAGACATTTGCCTAAATCTGCAATATTCAACAAAGTGCACTGCATGGAACACTGTAACTTACAATGCTACCTTCCATTTCCAGTGCAATGAATATATATATATATATATATATATTTTTTTTTTTTTTCAAATGTATTTTCCAAA